GGCCAGTCCTGCCCGCTGAAATAACCAAGTCTTGAGGGCGCGGCGGAAGGAGGGGAGATCCGGAATCACCCGGATCTCTGGGGGCAGCTCGTTCCAGAGGGTGGGTGCTCCGACAGAGAAGGCTCTCCCCCTGGGGGTCGCCAGCCGACACTGTCTGGTTGACGGCACCCTGAGGAGGGCCTCTCTGTGGGAGCGTATCCAAAGACCCTCCCCAAAGATATTTGCAACCCAGTTCTGAAATTCTGATGGACAGTCTCCCCATGCATAGTCACATGACTGCCTTACAGATGCTTGGCAACTGGTCCACATTTTCAGCCATTTGCTGCATCCTGCGGTCATATGGCCACAATTTATGATGATTTTGCTCAAAACTGGCATTTATTTCAATTTTTCAGCAAATAGTGAAGAATGGATTAGCAACCATGGATTCACAGAATGACCATGGTGTCTGCTTAACAACTGCTGCAAAAAAGGTCATAAAATCAGGGTTGGTCAAATGATAACCCTTTCCGATTCTCACAAGTTATGATTATAATGGACAGGATAGGGCATGCAAACCTTCCAGTTATTTATTATTTATTTATTTGTTTATTTATTAAGAAAAATTTATGGCCATCCAATTCATTCATAATGATTCTGGGTCCAAAGTACTTTATAAGTCCAAATTATTTTGTTCCAAAATATTTTAAGCTTATCAAGGTGCACTTGTGTATATTTAAAATGACAATTTTGGAGCTGAGGTCAGAGAACAAGTTTCTTTCCCATAATCTTTGATGAAATTGAAGTTGAAAAGAGGTTGTATATTTTGGACCCTTTTAATTGAGGAGTATGCTAAAGGAAATCAATCCTGACTGTCCTTTGGAAGGACAGATACTGAAGCTGAAACTCAAATACTTTGGCACCAAATGAGAAAATAGAGTCATTGGCAAAGACCCTGATGCTTGGAAAGATGGAAGGCAAAAGGAGAAGGGATGGCAGAAAATGAGATGATTATATAGTGTCATCAACGTAATCAACATGAATTTAGGCAAACTCAAGGAGACAGTAGAGGCGGGGGTGGGATGGAGTGCTATGGTCCATAGGGTCGCGAAGAATTGGACCTGACTTAGCAACTGAACAATAACAAAACTGGGGAGTGATGCTGAGATCCATACATCTGTAATGCTTTTATTTAATTTTGCATGCTTATCTTTTATCTTTTAATTGCATGAAGCTTCCCAGACTTCTTTTGAAGTTGAGTGATCTAGAAATTTAACAAACAAATAAATATTACAAAAGACAACAACCACATTGTTTTGCATATAACTGAATACAGAATCCATGTGGAATATTGCTGGGGACCTCTGTGCCCCAAAGATCTCTTTATTTTTAATTCTCTGGGTGGACATGGTAGCATGTGATCCAGAAAGATTGCCAATGAATTATTTGCTAGTTTTGAGATTCATGAGTCTGTATTTTTGCTGCAAAAGACTAGTACAAATATCCCTCTAAAATCCCCAACATTAAGAAATTCCTAAAACAACAAGAAAAAACAGCTACCAGGAGAAATTCAAAATAAATTCTCAGGGAACCAAAGGATACAATATAAAAACAGAAGCATCCTTTATACGGGAAGCAAACTTATGAGAGATTGCAAAGCAGATTTTAGATAGATAGATAACCTTCATTGTCATTTTTTTTTTACTGTGGGCACAATGGCACACATTAAAAATGAAATTTAGTTGCTTGCTCTCAAAGTATACACATACATAACACACATTTAAACATACTATATACAACATATGTATAGACCTACATATAAGCAACATATAAATACTAATCACTGTCCATCTTGAATACATAACAGAAGGAGGAAGCTTTAGAGTTCACAAGGTTAATACTATATGGAACAGAACTGTGATTGAATCTGGATATTTTGCTTGGGATACCACGGAGCCCCCTCCCAGAAAGTAACAAGGAAAACAGGTTGTGAAGTGGATGTGTAGCATCCCAGATGATCCTGCCGACCCTGTTCAAGCAACGCTTATGTGCTATTTTAGCAAAGCATTCATGGGAATGAAGGGCACAAAATGTGAAAATAGACTCTCATGTTTATTTGCACCTACATAAGTGGCAAATAAAAGTCTTTCTGTTTCAATTCAGTTTTATGCTAAAGAAACCAAACTCTGAACATTGCTGATTTTGGACCATGCTATTCTTTTCTAAGCCAAACATCTGGATGTTCTGAATTTTAGTTTTATGACCCATATCACTATAATAACCATTGTGATTGACTTCTCAGATGGGCTCATTGTACTGAAAAAAAATAAAGAAATCATATGATGCATTTCAGATTTAATGTACCTCTGCCAAATGAACATGAGTTAATGACTAAAAGTAACTCCGGCTAATACACCAGCCTTTTCTTCTAAGTTTAAATTCCTTAAATCAATTTAAAGCTGTACTTGGCAAAACTTTTTTTCAGCATTAGTCTGTGAAAATCACAAGTCAGAATAAACTTATTTTTTTCTTACAATGCAGATAGTTTTTCTTTAAAACTATCTGCATTTATTTTAAAAGTTACCAAGAGCTGACAAAACAGCAAATGCGGACACTGGAGAGAGATTAATCTAAAATGCAGTATCAGACATTCTGTTCTCTATTTGTCTTCTGACAATTTATTCCTCAGTTTTCCTACATTCTTCTATATATCCATCAGCTATAAATGTCCAAATCTTATTGTTTTTCCAGTTGAAATCCAAATGTCTTCTAGTTTCCATTTGAACTGGCTTAACATCTCACTTGCTTGTGTCTTTAGCTTATTTTGTTTTCTTTTCTTTTTTTAAAAAAATATCCTGTGTGGTCTAGTCTACCTCCTTGTTCTTCTGTTTTCTTCTAAAAGCATATTCCAGTTTTATTTAACACATGGTTTAAGATTGTTTGCTTCTTTATTCTTAAAATATTTATAATTTCTTTCTTTCTTCCTTCCTTCCTTCCTTCCTTCCTTCCTTCCTTCCTTCCTTCCTTCCTTCCTTCCTTCCTTCCTTCCTTCCTTCTTTCCTTCCTTCCTTCCTTTCTCTTTAAAATTGTTGCACCAGACACTCTACTTTATAATTAATTCCAGATCAATTATCTTGGGGATTCCTGGTGCCAATTATCTGACAATACCGGAAACCAGAAGCACAATGCTGGTTGGGTTTGAGGATTCTGTTTAGGGAAATGTAGCTATTGATCACAAAAAAATTTCTTTGCTCAATTGTTTCTTGTTTTGAATCATACCTAGGAAAGCAAACAGAGGGCAATATAACATCCATGAAAGTTTTTCTTTCTCCAGTTGTTGTTTTGCTTAGTTTTGTAAAAATGGGGAAATTAAATGGGAAATTTATGAAACAGATTAAGAAAATGTTCATGGAGTGTTTTCGATTTCTTGTTGGCATCATGCTTTCATACTATAAAATTAATCCATGGAATTTCAGTATTGGAGCAATTTGATTTGATGTAGAGTGATAGTCTACACATTTAAATTAATTGGATACTTTTATTCCTATACTGTGCTATGTTATCTGTTAAGTAAAATAACATCAGCTTGTATGCAGGTACTGTTACTTTCTGTACAAATAACTGTGTAGGTTGATGAACATTTACACAACAAGGAAAAGGAAATGTTGTTTTAATGCCTTCATTTTGTTTGACAGAGACAGATTTCGGACAATGATCAATGTCCTGGGTGATGCTCTTGCTGCTGGAATAATGGCACATATTTGCAGAAAAGAATTCACCACAGACAGATCTGAGGTAGGAGAAAACTGATGTGATATTTTGAGGGCTCACTTTACCAAACAAAAATAATTAGGTCTCTCTTTTAAAGACATTCTATGTAATAGTGTGTTCTACCTATGATTTTGTTGGAACAATGTGGCTCATTTGGTTAGGATGATGGTTTGGAGGTTAGCAAGCCCTCATTTGAGATCTGAATGCTGCCGTAAGGTGGAGTGAGTTCCCGTCCTTTGCTCCAGCTCCTGCCGGGCACATGAAAGAAGCCCCTAACTGAGCATTCCCCCAATGGTGATGTCATCGGCTAATCCTTGGTGCTTCCAACATGAGTGTATGCTAAAATGAAATATGTATAGAAAAGTGTTCTAGAATAATGAAGAGTATTTATAGTATGAACCCCTTGTTCTATTCATAGGTGCCTTTGATTGGAGAAACAAAACCCATTAGTATCCACAAAATTATTGCTTACCAGAAGAATGGCTGTGTGAAGTCCATGAATAAAATGCGTGGACCCGAACCAGTCAAAACAACACTGCATCACTTACCTATTCAAGTGGAACAAGAAGAGAATCACTCAGAATGTTACACAGAGAAATCCAACAATAAAGACCACTGTACTATTGAAATTAATGAATTGGAAACAAATGTGTAATGGACAGTTACTCCTAAAAGTATCTGAAAACAAAAGAATATCCTGTAAATGAAGTTGGGACATGGCCTGCTTCTTCAATGGCAAGGCATGCAATGACTGTTATTCCTGAACTGAGGTTATAAGATAGTTGTGGACACCTGTGAAGACAGAAGGCTTCATGGAAGATGGGTTCCATTGGTTGGTTGGGTTAGCAGAAAGGAATTAATCACTGGATAAATTTCGTTTACTTTGGGCAAACAGATATGGCGATGTTTCTAAGAAGAAACCTTCTGATCCATTGAAATGATTTCTACTAAATCACCCTGACTCAGTTTTCCCAATCAAAATGAATATACCACAATTTCATTAATGTTCTATCTTTAGTTTAAAAATGTATTACTAACTAATGGATTAAGGATAAACTGTGGATGGGATCAAGTCCTGGTTACTGAGCCTGAGTTATGTGAATAAAGCATTGTTATTAATCTGCTGATTTGGATACACTGTAATCATAAGCAGTGGTTAGTTTAAAATGGAAATGGGTCTGCTTTCCTACAGTTGCATAGATGAAAGTGGAGAGAACAGTGCATGCATTCAGGGGCCTTGAGAGGTCATTAAACTACCGTTTGGTGTTACATGCGACCTGGGTTAAAATTGTTTAACAAATCATTCTTGTTTGCAGCTTCATTCTGCTCTATTCAATGTTCTGAGTGAATACTGTAGTAGCTTTCTGACTGCAGTCCAAAGTAATGGTTTTAATTTATAACACCCTCTATGGCTTGACACTTCAGTAATTTTGGGACTGCCTCCTTCAACCTATCTATCCCAGAGAAACTGTTAATACTGTTAATACTGCTCCCCAGCACCACTTTGAGAAGGAAGGGGAACTGAGGCCCAGAGGGGTTGTTTCTCTATGATGGCCCCCGTTATATAGAATGGCCTTCTGGAAGACAACATTGGCTCCATCAATAAAAGCCTTCTAGAAGCTAGTTAAAATCTAGAAGCTAGTTAAAATTCATCTTGGGATGAATTGTGATAGCACTGGGGCTGTTACGTAATTCTAAATGTAACTTAAATTTAATTTTAAGTTACTGTGGAAGTTTTAGTGTTTCATTTTACAGTTGTTATGAATCCTCCAAGAGTTTCTTGATGTGGCACTATATAAATTTAAGGAATGAATGAATAGACTAATATGATCTTTATATCTACCAAACATGGATTTCAAATAGTCAATTTCTAATAGTAGTATAGATGGACTTTTGACTGTGATGGTAGCAACTATATAACGACCAGGTATAGAAATTCCATTGCATATTAAAGATTCTCAGAGCCCTTTCATTTTTACTTTGTATTATTTGGAGAGATAAATGGCAATTAATACTGTTTGTTACATATTATTTTCTAAGGTTTACAATGTATATATTATAACAGTATATTTTTGAATGAAGAAATATTATGTTTTGTTTAATGAGGTGATAGAGTCTTATTTTTAAGATCCCTAAAAATAAACTATTAAGCCCCATTCTAAACATTCCCTATCATATTAGTCTCCCAAATTCCAGATACTTCCTTCCTTTTTGCCTCTCCTTATTTTTCTTCCACCACTAACTTGGTAAAATCTACAGTGACTGAATCAGTGTTTTTCAACTGTGCCAACTTTAAGATGTACAGGTATGGGATTCTTGCTGGGGAATTCTGGGAGTTGAAGTCCACACATCTTAAAATTGCCACGGTTGAAAAAAAAAACTTGTCTAATTATTAAAAAACCCAAACCAAAATAACTGGTGCTAAAAAAAAAAAGGGTACACAATGTTCTGTAATTTATATAGTTTCAATGTACGTTAGTTTGGGCCCAAATCCCTTGTGGTCTGAGTGTTCTCATAAAAATAAGTTACAATATAGCACATGCAAATGTGGCATATGTTCATTGTAATGATATATTCAGATTAATAATGTTCTTATGATTGCTGTCTGTAAATGCTCCCACATATCACACATGCTATGTAAGGCATCTTGGATGAGTTTCTTCAGAGCCAGTTCAAATGTCCAACTCTACAGTCTTGTGCTTTTAATTTGGCAATGGCTTCTATTTGGAGCGGTTTAAAGCAAGTCTGAGACAAGAGCCAGAGCTATAGCTTTTGAATTGCTGCACCACTCTTACAGCCCATTAGATGGAAAAGGGCTAGAGGAAATTAGTGCTTTTTTAGCTTTGAGGTTTGAATTTTTGAAGTTTGAATTTTTCATGAAAAAGAGTAACGTTGAGGACTCTCTCAGTTACGAAGCTCATCTACTGAAAGTGAACCAAATATTGTCATTTATGAGACAAAAATATTGGGCTAACAAAATAGAGGAATATGGTGTTTATCACCGATGCTGTGTGCAAGGGGAAATAAAATAGCATGCAATCAGTTTAGATTTTGGCAGCCATGGCTTATTTCCCCTTAGAATGAAGTATATCTGCCAATTTTTTAAGTTGTTACTTATATTTTTTTTAAGTATGCCTTTCCTTTGGCAGAAGTGTCCCAAAAAATTTTTTTCTCTTTCACCTTTGGACACTCTAGTTGCAATATAGCTCTATGGAGTCATCAGTGGCCTTCACCAGGTTGGCAATGACCAGGGGGCGGAGATTCTGGGCTGTATATCTCCCATAAGGCAAACTTGTAAAGAAATTGTCATTTCGTGTTCTGTTCAAGGAAATCTGGCTGCGCATGCGTGAGAGATGGCGGTCTTCTGGAAATAGCTCCGAGATGCGGAGCCCGAAAATGGCGAGAGGGGGAGCTTGGAAAGCTCCCCGAAGGCCCGGAGTTCCACTCCCATGTGGGTGCCTCTCCCGGTGAGCCCCGGACTGGATACGGGACGTTTGGGGGCGCGGGGGGCGCGGAGCCGATTCGGCCATCGTTC